TGTAGTGCGCATGCGCAGACCACAACGCGCACGTATCGCGTTACGTACGCAGCCGCTACGTACGCACGAATGAGATGCGTGCGTGCGTACGTATGAGCTGATCGCGCCGCTCTCGAACAAGTTCGCGACAGCGCGAGACTTCGTTTTGCAAAATGGCGGCATCAAAGGCAAACACCGACCGGCTCTGTGGTTTAAAATATGGCCATAATCTGGCTATAACTAGAGTGCCTATTCTAGGCACTCTACTGTAACACTATAATATTCTAGGCACTCTACTATAACACTTGGATTGGCTCACATTGGCTGTCAACAACACGTGCTTCTATTTTGATCTACCAGATGGCGCAACACGCTTCACACTCATTACGTACGCTGGTACTACGGCGTACTAAAAGCCGATTAGTGGCAAGCCACGCCACGTAACGCAAGGCGCTTGCGTGATGCGTACGTAGCGCCATTCCGCAGTACTAAAACTCTCTATTATCTCACGCCAGGCGCGACCAGCGTTCATCAGCGCGGCCCGACGGCAACCAGCGCTAAATGCGACATGCTGCATTTCGAGCCGATGGGTTACCCAGACAACACTGCGTCTCCCTCTTTTCGTTACGGAAGTACACCGGACGTGATAAAACGCGCATGCGTCTAAGCAACGCAGCGCGGCGCGCGCCTGCCAGTATATGACAGGACCGCCGCCTGGCGTGGCAACGCTGGCGTGACGCGACGGTATGGACGCCGGCGAGCGCGCGCACCGCATCACGTCGATATGTATTGGCGCCTTGACTGTGGCATGTAGTCATATTTCCACATGACACGCATCTCATGATTATCATGTTTGCACTAGTCACATACCTTCGTCATCCATTGGCGTCCCATAATACCGAATTTGGTATATGTGATGCTAGAAAAACGGCCGCGAGCTCATCATCAGAGTGGCATGTAGTCATGTTGTTACATGACACGCATGTCTTGATTATCATGTTTGGATGTGTCATTTACCTATGTCATCCGTTCACGTCGCGTAATACCGAGTTTGGTACATGTGAAGCTAGCGAAACGGCCACGAGCGCATCATGAGCGTAGCATGTAGTCATGTTGTTACATGACACGCATCTCATGTTTATCATTTATCGTGCTTGCACCAGTATAATACCTTCGTCATCCATTTACGTTCCGTAATTTGGTATAAATGAAGCTAGCGAAACGGCCGCCAGGGCATCATGAGCATGGCATGTAGTCGTGTTGTTACATGACACGCATCTCATGATTATCATGTTAGCGCCAGTCACATGTCTTCTCCATCCATTCACGTACTGTAATACCAAATTTGGTACATGTTACGATAGCGAAATGGCCACGAGCGCATCATAAGCGTAACACGTAGCCTTGCTGTTACATGACACGCATGTCATGATTTTCATTTTAGGGTTTGTCGCTTGTGTTCGCCATGCAATCATGTCATACCATACCAGTTTTGCAACATGTTGTGTTAAAGAAACCACCGCAAGAGCTGCAGAACCATGAAATGTAAATCATGACATTCATGACATAAATATCATGATTTTCAAGTTATGACCAAATAATTATGTTCTTCATAAATTCATGTTATGCCATACCAAGTTTGGTATCGATACCATTATCGAAATGGCAAGGAGAGCTAAATGTCATAGGCGGATAGATAGATAGATAGATAGATAGATAGATAGATAGATAGATAGATAGATAGATAGATAGATAGATAGATAGATAGATAGATAGATAGATAGATAGATAGATAGATAGATAGATAGATAGATAGATAGATAGATAGATAGATAGACAGAAGCAGACAGACAGACAGACAGACAGACAGACAGACAGGACAGACAGACAGACAGACAGACAGACAGACAGACAGACAGACAGACAGACAGACAAGACAGACAGACAGACAGACAGACAGACAGACAGACAGACAGACAGACAGACAGACAGATAGATAGATAGATAGATAGATAGATAGATAGATAGATAGATAGATAGATAGATAGATAGATAGATAGATAGATAGATAGATAGATAGATAGATAGATAGATAGATAGATAGATAGATAGATAGATAGATAGATAGATAGATAGATAGATAGATAGATACGCTCAGAGTCACCGAAGTTCGCTAAGAAATGCTTCGCAACGTCAGTCTTGGCAGCTTTTAAACTGAATAATAATGGAACCTTACGTTTGAAACTGATCGCACCAACTTTTACGGCTTACAAGAAACCGCTTTTGTTGTTGTCGCTGTTGCTTTTGCGTAATGAACTGTTATGTCACATCTTACAAGCAGTTACAAGGGTCCTGCGCCTTCACTCGGAGCATGAAACGCGTTTGGACGCATATTGAAGGCCGATTGTTGTCACAGAAACTACAATAAATATAGCTAACGCAGTATCAAGGTTTGCTATTCTCGAGGGTAACAAGCAACCATAACAGACGTCCCTCGTCGTACGTTTGCGAACGATTAGTAATGCCTCTCTTACGCGAGAGCGCGCAAATGCTATGTATAATGACCCCTTTTAACAAATCTCGGCAGTAAAAAGGAATTTTCGTTTTCCTCGATTACACTTCTTCAGACGACAACAGAGCTGAATTTGCATATATTTGGTACAGTGACGGCTAAATTACTAACCTCCAGGCCGAATGCGCAAGTCTTGCATTTGCATCAATACAACACCAGTATACGTGTTGCAAACAAAACGCTGCTGTTTCTCGCAGACCACCTGGCCGGCTAAACTCGATAGACTCTGCATCCTGCTAGGAGTGGCCCCTTATCCGTTCTCGTGGGGCGAGCTCGATGCTCCAGAATGTTGAGGGCAAGCTTCATCCTTCACATAACAAGAGGCGACGTGCCAAATTGATCTGTGTTTCATTTGCCAAAAAACAGTGTGTATGGTACCTGATTGTTTCACCCAGTCGTGTCGTATCGAGCGACGAGAAAAAATCCGCGTTTTACTTTGGCTATTGAGTAACTTGGTTATATGGAATTGTTATGTAGGCAGCCACGATCTTGTTTTCGTGGAAACAGTGAAAAGGCGAAGCATTTGACAGCCTAACTCGCACAATTAAGTAGTTTACGGCTAATTATGTGCAATAAACACGTAGCCGAGGACTAAGCGAGTAGTTGAAACTACGTTAAGCGCATTCGTGAGTGCCTGCCAGCGTGGCTAAGCCAGACTGCACCGAACTAAGTTTAGAGAGTATGGGTAGAATCTGCGTGCAGTGCGCGTAAGGGCGTTGCGGAAGACAATCTTTAGCATTTACATGAGTCTTCGGCTGCCTTCCCTGATAATCTCCATAATCCCGAGTGCAATCACAGCCTGGCGTGCGACGTGTGTGTTTCAGTAACGCTTTCACTTGGGCTAGTTAGCGTATGTTTGGAACACTAAACATTACTGCGGTAAAAGATAACATTGACAAGGAAGAGAGAACGGGCGCGATCTCTTCTTTCTCCGCGTTTTTTTAGTGCAGCCATGCAATGTGTGTTTCGCTTACAGTGAGAACAGCTATGCCAACGCAATAAGTAAGTTCACATTTCCTGCCACAAAAGCGCGCCGCATTACTACAGCGTGAACTATCTTTTTAGACATGTATGCTTAGATATCGCCGTATTCGCATAACTGTATAAGCTCTCTGATTACTGTTCAATCAGAGCAATTTTCTAAAAATTTGTTCATTCCTGCGGGATACGAAGCTCGAACCTACCTATTAGCTCCTTAATTATTGTTAATGCGGTGATATTATTCCTGCCTGAAGGGTAAATAGTTGCCAATATTCAGAAGTTACATGTTAACAAAAAAAAAATCACAGCACATCCCCGGAATCAATGATGATTGGGACGAAGCGTCCTTCCGTGCATTCCTCCGTGCATCCGTGTCTCTGTGAATCCGTCCGTGTGTGTGTCCGTCCCTCTGTCCGTCAGTGCGTATGTCCATCCGTCCATGCCTATGTTCGTCTGTCTGGCGACGAGCACAAGCCGAGCTTAATCCATGCCCAACCAACGATCCGACACGTACGGCGTCAATCCGAAAGAGAAGCACGCCAGGAGAGAGGCACTTGTTCCCCGCGCACCCAGGCACAGCCCGCGCAGCAGCCAATCGAAGAGTAGTGATACATCGCAATCTAGAATATACTCACTCAACTGCAGTTTGCAAGTACTTCTATGAGACAGTGCCATCTATTATATCGTAAGAGAGGTACAGCCGGTTGCGCCTAACGCGGGACAAGGTTAGGATAAGAGGAGGTTCGCTCCTAAAATATTAATTGTGGGCCTGTGGTTGTACTGTCGTGCATATGCGAGTCACTCATGCGTAACTTACGTAAGGGGCATAATTCCCATGCCGGAACAATCATTTCTAGTCAAACTTTTCAAAGCTACCAAAAAATGTTTATGGAGTTGTGATTTGTGAGTTGAATGATCTAACACGTTTCAGAACTCACGCATGCTGCTGATTTTTTCTATAGGCCAATGCATACGGCAGCAAACATGACTTCTGTTGCCCTCATAAGCGTTGCATAAAACTAGATCAGTTAGCATTCTATAACACCCCAAGCAGCAAAGTAGGATGGAAATTCGAGGTGGTCATGCCTCTGTGATTCTAGGGTAAAATGGTACCAATAACCCTACTGTCTCTATCCTCTTTCCGACCCTTATTTTCCCACCCCTGTACAGAGTAGCAAACCAGTTGTTTTAGGTTAACCTCCATGTCTATTCCTTCTATATGTTTCTCTCTATATTCATCTGGGGAATCGTTTCGCATCTATTGTCCGTAAAACTAAATCATCATAACGACAGTTATATGGCAAGGTGTACTAAACGAGGTAAGGACATGATGAAACAGTAGGAACCGTTTTTGTCCACTCATAAAAATTTATTTCATAAATTTCTAGGTGATGCACTATCGCATACTGTAATACGACGATATTGAAAACTGCGTATGTTATAGTAACAAAATAAAACTGATACTTACGATACAAAAACGTGTTGATCGGTTTCCGGGTCTTCTCTCTTGCATCCGCCTTGTGTCCCCGCAGCTTCCCTTGTACGTAAGCTTGCATTTATGCTGCACGAATATACAAACACAGAGTTGCTGCTGAGAAAAAAACTTCTGGATATGTCGAGGCGAGGGAAGCGGCTGCGACGTTCACCAAGAGTCAGAGTCACTTCACCTCTAATTCACTTTTTTTTTCGTTGCCATTCACTCATCGAAGCCGCAACGCTGCCAAATACAGCAAAGTGCGAAAAGAAAGAAGAGTGCGCGGGACACGTCTTTCACAAAAGCGTTGCGCGCGTCGTCGCGCTTGCATAAAACACCGCTTTCGGGGATGGGCGTTGGCACCGCACACACTGGCGTTTTCGGCAGAGGAAAAATGTCAGAAAGCATGACTAAAGCGCTGCTCCTGAAGAGATATGTTGTGTACTGCATTCCGTTGCTTATTAGCATCTTCCTATCTTATCTCTGTTTCTTTCATGTTTTTACTCTAAGCTGCATCTGTGATCATCGTCCGTCAACATTTAGAAAAAAATCCTACGAACCGTGCTAGTCACGAATGCAAAAAAGTAAGCGTTCTTGAGCGCGTCACGTCAGCTGTTGCTGCTCCTTCTGTCGCTGCTAAAGAAAGACGATCGTCGTGACTTCGCAGAGCATCCGCAGACGAGGATATGGACGTGTTGCTGCGGCCGCTGCGTCTGCTTGCACGCGCCATAGCTGCCGAGCATTATCGGCCTAGATGTACGCCAGAGGCGTCGGCTTAAACTTTCCGTTGTACGTGACATGCGCTGCAGGCGGCAAAGTCAAGGAGCTCTCGGACTTGTGGAACTGGCTCATGTGCGGGTCGTGAAGACTAGCCGTGTCTAGCTGCTTCTTGAGGACTCTGGAAACTTTTCGCCGGTACCAGAGCACTAGCGCTAGCACGATAATAGCGAAGATGGCGGTGGTCGAGAGCCCCACGATGAGGATATTTCGCCTCGTGCGACCATCGCAGTCGAGGTCGTAGTGCGACAAAGTGCGCAGCAGTTCGCCGCTCAAGTGTGTCGGGCTGTGGCAGCGTACATTGGTCCAGTTGCCCGTGTGGTCGAGAGAGCGCAGTAGGTCCCACAGCCATATGACGCTACAGTTGCATACTATTGGGTTGTCTCGGAGATCGAATGTGGACAGCTGGTTCCAGGGAAGTAGGTCCGGATGAAAGGACTCAAAGCCGTTGGCCCTCAGGCTAACTCTGGTGAGCTGGCGCAGGTTTGTGAACGTTGCCGGAGACAAGTAGCGCAGTCTGCGGTTCTCTTCGAGTACGACCTGCTCCAGTTGCAAGCACTGTCTGAAAGTGCGCTCATCGATGCTGTCCAGATGCTCGGAGCGCACGATGTATAGACGCCTCAGGTTTTCTAGTGCTCTGAAGTTGTCCTCCGCAAGATCCCTGACGCTGTTACGGCCAAAGTGCAATTCTTCGAGTCTATGCAAGTCGGAAAGCGCGTCCGTTGGAAACGAAACGAAGGCATTGTCTTGGAGTCTCAGAGTGGCGAGTGAAACGAGGCTGGAGAAAGCACCTGGCTCCAAGATGGCCGTTGAACAGCGATCCATGTTGAGCTCTCGCAGCCTGACCAGATGGCTGAAGGCGTTGTCAACGACGGTGGGGATGCTGTTCAGGCCGAGATCGAGCGCCAGCAGGTGGGGTATATGGTGGAAAGCAGGTGTGGGCACGTGACTGAGCTTGTTGTCTCTGAGTATGAGCGACTTGAGCCTGTGCAGGCCGACGAAGGCATCCGAGTCTATCTTGGCGATCTGATTGTGCGATATGTCGAGTCGCTCCAGGCTTCGCATGTCGTGAAACGCTCTGGACGGCACGTAGGTTAGCGCGTTGCGTCTGAGTTGCAGCTCGAGCAGGGTTCGAAGACCTCGGAAGGTGTTGGCCTCCAACTCGGCCACCAAGTTGCTGTCTAGCACAAGCACTTTCAGTTCGGGCAGCGGGAAATTGTCCGCTCCCAGAGTCCGCAGCTGGTTGTAGGACACGTCGAGGAACTTGATTTGCTGGTACACACTGAAGGCGGACATGATGTTGCGGATATTGTTGCGCGTCAGGTGCAGCTCGCGAATCTCGGGGTTCAGCGTGATGGGGATGACGTCGAGTGCTGCACCCGCGCACTGCACCGTAAGCTTGTCGTCATTGCAGACGCACCGCATGGGACAGAATGCGTTCGCACAACTGACAAGCGACAGCAGCAGCAGCTCGGCTACGGCCGGTCGCCTCTGCCTGCCGGCTCTCAGATGGATATGGCCCATGGTACTGCTCCTTCGTAGTACCTGCAAGAATAAAACAGCCAACTGTGTAGAAGTACTAAAGAAAAGCAATGCTATGGTAGGCTTAGCTTAGCGAGTTGGCCAGAAAGGCATTGAAAACAGTGTATAACCAAGAAAAACTGGGAGGTCAAGTAGACGAGAATTTTTTTGGTACATCATATTCTGGTTTTTAAAGCACGGGAAACAGACTGAAAGAAAGGACAGCAGTCTCGACAGAAGATGCACACATTGAGTAAACGCACTAACGAAGCCATCGAAACCCCGCTAAACCACATGCGACATTTCTTTCAGACATTTCAAGTAAATACGTGCGTCGTGTGCAGAATGAGTTGCTTGTGCATAATGAGTTTGGCCCTCACAATCAACAATCTATCACGTGGCAGCGCTACGAGCCACCGGCCATGCCACAAATCTAAGAAATAACCCTTCTCATTTCCGGGCCTTTCGGGCCTCAGCGTGACGGCGAAAACTTGAATCTCTGACGCGCCGCACATTGATGCTCTGATTAGTCGAACAAAAGCCTACGACTTGTGGTTAGTCTGCCAGCAGCTGTTTCGCGCTTATTGTTATTCGTCAAGTTACTCGCGTGCGGGTGCGCGCGTTCGCAAATGAGCTATTGCTGCCCGCAGTACAGGTTCCATACCAGCATAAATCGCATAAGACCGGGTTGGCACGGCAGCAGCGGTTCGCCAACAAGCACGCAGTCGACAAAGCAATCGAGTCGCGGCAACCGGAAGTAGACGGCGTTTCGAGTAGCACATTGGCGATGACGTATAACACGCTAGATTGGAAAGGATGTTTGGCGTATGGGCAAAGCGGCTTTGGGAGGCGATACCAGCGGAGGGTAGCAAAGGAAAGAGAGAAAGGAATGATTGCCGCGTTCCGACAATCAAACGCGTTATGGGTCTTTTCAACTGCAATAACTAATTCAGCACTTCAGCACGTTTACGAGTCATCAGTTATTGTGACTTGCAGAGGCTTAATTTAATGTTACCAAACTGGATGTCCGGTATTTTACTTCATATTTTCTTATAACGCAGAAGGTCATAACTGAATTCAGTGAATGAAACATGCGCGGCTGGTGGAAGAGGCACCCTAATTTCGTTCAGCTAACAGACGTGCTCAAAAAGAGGGCCCTGTACTTTCCGCCCCCTGATGTTTCGGGGTTTTATAAGTGAAACGTGGTTAAAGGACTGGGTTTTAGATAATATTTGTAGCACAAGCCGGGAAGCTTTGTCAGTGAAGTTGTTAGCCTGCATACGATGCAAAAACAGCTGTTGACGGAGTAAATAACAACTAATACTTTGGTTCAGACAGATCATCGTTGTATTCGCTTTTCAGAGTGGTTCTCTTTCAAATGTTCGTCATGTGCCGATAAGCCAGGAATGCGTCTAGATTTTTTGCAAGTTTCTTTTGCTTGTCATCAATCAAACACACATTGATATGTTTGTATGATTTATTTTGTTTCTAATATTTTAAGAGATAATATTTAACGTGTGATTTCTCTTTGTTTGCTTTGATCAGAGAAGAAGGCTGAGTAAAAGCCTCTGTTTAAGATAGCTTCTGTTAAGTTTGGCATTACGTTTTATTAGGTGTGTCAGTGTAGATGTACCTTTTCACATTGTTTTATGTAACACGCGCAAGTTTGATTTCTAGCGTTCATTTCTCACTTTGTTCAGGCGTGTTCTGTCTTGCTGTGATGCTCATTGTGGCTACGCGCATTGAGCGAGAGCTTATCCAAGGACTAACTTTGTTTTGTTGAACAATCTGACGCTTGCAAGCGGCGCCAATTCACGAGATTGAGAAGTGCTTGCTGATTGATTGATTTGTGGGGTTTAACGTCCGAAAATCACCATATGATTATAAGAGACACCATAATGAAGGGCTCCGGAAATTTCGACCACCTGTGGTTCTTTAACGTGCACCCAAATCTGAGCACACGGGCCTGAAACATTTCCGCCTCCATCGGAAATGCAGCCGCCGCAGCCGGGATTCAATCCCGCGACCTGCAGGTCAGCAGCCGAGTACCTTAGCCACTAGACCACCGCGGCGGGGTCAGAAGTGCTTGCTGTTTTCTTTGTAGTTTGGGGGCCGAATAGGTTTATTTGTAACGACTTCGGTCATCCCTTATCTGCCAATTTCGCACTGAGAATCGCTTGCGATGTCAATCTGATTTGTTTTTAGCAGCGTCACGCTCTGACACTCAGCTAAAGATGCGTCTGCATTGTGTATTCCTTCCGAGATACGTTGCTCGTGATGCTATATTGTTAGCTTAGGTGAATCTCGAGGAAATAATTTATTTCCTGCTGGTATGGCTATTTGATCAGTATTTGGAGGGCACTTGCTTTGGCCACAGTGGTTTGGCTTTGTGTTCAACTTCGTCGTTCCAGGGAGCTGCTGCTAATGGCAAATTTCACTCGTCGAGCGGCACCACGTTTTATAGCACCGCGGCGGAGAATCGGCGCTCCGCTGGTGGATTCAGAGCAAGTTCGCGTTTTCCAACCGCACATTCGGAGCAACCCACTCCGCGACAAAGCGTTCTGCGTGCTCCGTCTTGCAGAGACAGATTTTGCCGGAACTCCGAGAATGCGTGCCGTCATTTCCGGTATCGTAGAGCATCTCAACAGCACCTAAGTTGTCTTCAGCGCTTTTCGAGGCGGTGTCTAGTCACCCTGTGAACTTTTTTAGATTCCTAAAATGGCGTCGTTCGACTCTGCTGAACGTGCTGCTGCTTGTTTCCTTCTCACTTTGAGCGACAGCGAGAGCATAGGTTGCAGCAGCGAGGACGATGACCCGTGCGTGCTACACGATATGATGCATAAGGAAAAGTCTCCTCGCCAGCCCTGCGCACGGCCAAAGATAATCGGCAACGTTGAGGAAGTTTCCCGCGCCGGTTTAGTGACGTATGCGTGAACAGCTTCCGGAGCGACCTCACGCGGGGCATCCACGTGTTCCACTCGCAGATCTGGCTTGGCGCAATCCGAGTGCTCGCTCCAGCATTTCGGCGGCCGCTCCTGATGTACCAGTAAAATTCGCCATGAGCCATGAAGATCCTACAGATGGAAAGAGTGGACCAGACACACTTGACGACAGTGAACCACTGGCTGCTGTTACTGCTGCGGCAGTTGCCCCTTCGTTCCTGTGTTGCAACCTGCGACCTTCTGACTGCTCCTATCCCTACCTTTTACTTCTCTACTCTTTAGTCCCCTTCCCTCATCCCCCTACAAGACACTGCACCATGCTCTCTTAAGGGCTGCAGAAATAAGCGCCTTTTTTTCTGCTTCACCTAACCACTACCATCACCGCCATCACTCGAGCTGCGTGTGACAGCTCGAATTCTGGACGCATTGTATTGTGGCGGGAGCACTGTTGTGCCAGAGCTTTTCGCCCCTCATGATCAAACACCTTTGACCGAATCAGGAACCACCGGTCTTGAGTTGTGCACATCACCCACCTAGCTGTATGTGCAGGACCAGATATCGCCCCCCCCCTCCTAGAGTTCAAACACCTGCAAACGGACAATGACCTGCCTGCCTGGCGATGAGCACGTCACGCTCCTTCTCTAAGCTGTGCACGTCACCTAACCACCTGCAAGACTTCGCACACGACACCTAACCGCCATGCTTGATTTAAGAACATGCCGTTTCATTGTTAGGAGACTTGCCCCAGCCGACTTGCTCGAGCTGGATGGCTCTGTCGCTACATTCCTCTTACCCGGTTCCGTCACGTAATGTCCGAATTCGGCTGCTTCTACCAACGACGGCCACGTCGTCATTGCGGTAGAATAGTGTGAAAAAAAACCCCTTTTTATAACAATATTGTATCGTTTAAAATGATTGTTAGGTTCCGAAGAAAAGCTTTTGAGACAGCAGTCATACGGTCGGTCAGTTCGGTCAGTCGCCGGCAGCCAGCCAGCCAGTTTGCCAGCCAATCAAAAAAGAAAAGGTCCTGCGGAGCTTAGGCTGCCGGGGAATCGACGAGGAACATCTTAGCAGCCGCTACCATGAGTGAGTGAAACAACTTTATTGACGATCCATAGCGACGCCCGTATCGAGGCGGGAGTATGGTGAAGTTCCGTCATCAGCTTTCATGATACTGCACTGTATAGTAGTGATACTTATAGTTCACAGCAAATAGCGGGGGATAGCAGTTGGTGTCACGCGTATTCATTATTCAATCACCTTGTTGATATGAATGCAGTAACCGCCCAGAATGCTGGATTTCGCAAGCCGTCGTAATAAATAAGATTGTGCTCTCAGTAGTTCTGGAACTACGTAAGCAGAGCAAGAAACGTATGGTGACCTTCTGTTATGACCGAAGCTCGACGGTATGTCACCGCTGCCACCTTTCGTTTCGGCTTGTGTCCGGCTGGTCTCGTCGTGGGTAGTTGGCCACTACCACCAATCTTAGCCCATCTTGCAGGGAAGAAGGTGTATTTTAGGGAAATATTTACAGAGGTTTATTTAAATACATTACATAGAGGGTGGTTACATCTGGACAGTTTTGTTCCAAAAACCTCTCTCGAAAAACTCTAGATCGAAAAGCACTCAAAGCAGCCCGTGAAGGCCGATTATAAACAGCCCCGTTATCCCAGATCCATGGATGAGGGAAAGGGCTCCACTTTCCACTCTAAAACTACATGATGGGGCTGCCCGCACCCGCCCACGTCCTTCACTGCAGCGGAGTCACTACACTTCCACTGTGGCACTATGGTGTCCCCCCGCTGGCGTGAGGAGGTCGTTGGGGTGATGGGTCTCACGCTCGGGCCGCCACATCAAAGGAACGCAGTGACGCCGCTGTTCCTTCGAGGAAAGTTTTCGCGACCAAAACCCATTGTGCGCGATTGCGACGCCGGACTGCAGGGCGCCTTTCTTGCCGGCTTGGAATGCCCGTGCTTGAACGACTTTCCGCAGGCTAGCAGCTCCTCGTCGACTCGTTCGCAGTACACGGAATTCGGTTCTCCTTTTCGGCCCAAGCGCCCAACCTAACACTTCATAAGTTCT